GGAGAGAGGGCAGCTCATGGCGCGGCCTCCCGACGCCCCAGCCTGGGAAGTCGGCAGAGGCCGGCGCTAGCAGCGGGGTGCCCAAACCACTAAGCGAACGGCAATTATGAAGATAAACCTGAAGGGCTCTCGTCTGCTAACAGCCTTGTTTCGTATTTTTCTTTTTTCTTCTTTTTAAGCAATAATCCAAGGCTCTTATTAAAATAAACTCTGGTTTTGGCCTTGTAGTCGATCCTCTTAGGTGCGAGACTACGCTTTCAGAAACCACCGGGGTGGCCTTAACACCGTCGCACCGTACCCATCACGTTCCTGCTGCGCGGGTCGGCTGCTTTCTCCTGCGGGAACGCTGGGGCTCGGCAGGATTTTGTGTTAGCGGCCGCCCGTCCTAGAGGGCACCTCCGAACAGTTGTGTGAACTGGGCTGGTTCTGCAGTTCGTACTTTACAGGTGCTGCCGTTGTGTCTCACCCCCTTGCTTGCTTTCCTTGCTCTTCAGATCCAATTTGCATTGAAATTCAGACGAATCTGCAAAGCAGGAGAGGTGCAGCGAGGGACTGCGTACAGAGGGAAAGCAACTGAACCTACAGACGGAAAGGTCTTATTATTACCGAACGTCAGAAGGTGCTTCAAAGCTGTGTTTTGGGCCAAAGAAACGCCAAGCTGGCAACTCCATCACTGCCCACCTGCCCGCTCCTCCAGGGGTACAACATGCAGTTAAGCTTTCCCGGCAAAGTAGTTTTTTAAATTAGACAGACTCAAAAATTTGAAAAATAAATACATAAATATTCATGAACTACGACTAACCCTAAGTCCACAGCATAACTTGCAGCTGAGTGCAGATATGGCTGGATCATGTACCACTGTGGTTTAACTAAAACGTGAGCAAGGAAGGAGTGGCTGAAACCAGCAGATTGCATCTTGCTAAGGCAGTAGATAACAACCACATTCTGCCGAATGCATAGAGCTAAATGAGAGGTCAGCGGAGCCTCCCTTGGCTCAGCCGTCTCGCTTGCAGCCATTAACAGGGTCATGTAGCTTAAACGGGATTGCAGAGCAGCTTTCAAAGGGGTCGCTGAGCGCAAAACCCCAACGGTTTCGTTAAGGTACCTGGAGGAGGAGGTGGCACAGACGAAGGGCCGGGTTAGTCCCGGCGCGGCGTCCCCCGCTCCCGTGGCACGGGGAGCCGGGCGGAGGGCCGTGCACCCGAGGGGCAGGGCCTCGCTTTGCTCCCCCGGGTCTGGGGCCGCC